TGTTTTCTGGAGATTTCACCTGTTCTTTCATTTGGGACATGTTTCTTTGTCTCCTCATTTTGGCTGCCTCTCTGTGTTTGTTTCTATACATTAGCTAGGGCTGCTATGTCTCCCGGTCTTGTTAGAGTGGCTTTCTGTAGTAGGTGTCCTCTAGGATCCAGTGGTGCAACGTCCCAGGTTACCCAAGCTGGGCACTCTGGGTTTTCCCCCCACCATGTGGCTGTGTGCACCCTTCTGTTGTAGTTGAGACTTGAATGCTGTTGGCACATTAAAGGGAGAGATTGATCCCCAGGATCCAGCGTTTAAGTTTTTCATGAACTTGTAATTTTTTTTTTAATCCTCACCCGAGGGCATTATTTTTCCATTTTTTGTTCAGATAGAGTGGGAGGGAGAGAGAGGAAGAGAGAGAGAGAGAGAAAAACATTGACATGAAAGGGACACATCGAGTGGCTGCCACCCTCATGACCAACCAGGGCTGGGGACAAACTGCAACCCAGGTACGCGCCCTTAGTGGGAACCGAACCCAGGTCTCTCTGAACCGCAGGTTGATGCTCTAACCGCTGAGCCAAACCGGCCAGGGCGAACTCGTAATTTTAAGAGCTTTTACTTCTAGTGTTTCTATATTTTCTAGAGAAACAAAAGGAAGGGGACATGAGTTTATTTTGAATACCAAGGCCAAATAGTTCAAAAATAAAAATAAACTCATTAACTTTACTGAAAGTTGTTTAAATTCTCCACAGATCACATTTGCCTACTGTACAAATTTCAGGAAGGTTGGAAAGCCATTTATTTTTCAACTAGCAAAAAGCCTTTTCTGAAACATTTTCTCAACACCTGTAATTTAACCTTATTTATAATCGAAATCTTTAATCTAGGGGTTATAACAGAAAGGTCCATATTCTCTCCTCTGTAGTAAGAAAGGCCATTTTCCTACCTGCTGAGATGCTGGCCCTGAAGGGTGGTTCTGACCAGATCATTCCTGGAAAGGAGCCTGTGGCTCAGAGAACAGCTGCAGCTGTCCATCAGCCCCAGCCGTCAGCGTTCAAAGCCAGCTGCTCTGAAGCCAGTGGCAAAACTGTGAATAGTGAAGCCCAGATGAAATACAAGTATACTTTTTTTTCTTTCCCCTTTTCTCTTTTCTTTTCCTAACTCCATCCTTTCCTTCTCACTTACCCCACACAAGCTCTATAGAAGCATTCAACAATATTGAAATGGGATTATTTTATTATAATACAAACTATATTTGGAGTCTGAGGTAATTCAGAAGCAGAAATATAAATCCATTGACTCAGAAAATTACCTAGCATTGGGACAGAAAGTTTTCTAGCAAAGAACAAAGAAATCAATTTCCTCTTTGGTAGAATACCCTGGAAACGATTCCCCATCTTGAACAGGTCAACTATTTACTGCTCCGTATTAATATTATTTTCCCTGAATACTCCTGAAATGATTAACAACTAACAATGTAATTATCCTGAAGCCTTCATGTATGGGTTTTAAGGAGGAATGAGGGGATTTTCTGTGGTGACAGCATATGTTCCATGACACTCACTTTTGTTATTTGATCACAGTGAAGCTTGCCAGCTGATGGCCAAGCGCTGATGTAGAGTGTTCGTTAACTACACTGGTTGGACAGGGTATCTCTAGCTAGTTACCACGTCCAGGACCAGGTGGTGGTTAAACACAATGGGGCTATAGCCCTCAGATTGATTAGGTCAAATTTACTAATCTGGAGCCCTGTTTAGAACCACATAGCAGAAGGCCACTTAATCGAAACTCGGGGCCTTATATTTACTAAATGGTCTGTACATACCTCTTTTAAAGACATGAGTATAGGCAGTCTGGTGGTCTTTTAAGGAAATTTTCATAAATAAGTGTAATAGGCGACCACCCATTTACACACATTAAATAAGCAATTTCCTAAAATGAATGTGCAAAGATGAAACAAGAGTTGTTTCAGAGATATGGTAAGGGCACACAGAAATACTGTAGAGCTTTCTAGCAATGCACTAGTATGCATTGCTGCAAATAAACTAAGCTAAGGAATCAACTTGTTTTGCAGTGAATGACCCCCCAAGGTGAGGTCATGAACACAGGTTTTGATTACTCATGGAAAAAAAAAAAAAAGTCAAACCCTGGCCGGTTTTGCTCAGCGGTTAGAGTGTTGGCCTGCGGTCCAGAGAGACCCAGATTTGGTTCCCGCTAAGGGCACGTGCCTCGGTTGGTCGTGCGGGAGGCAGCCTCTCAGTGTGTCCCTTTCACGTCGATGTTTCCCTCTCTCTCTCCCTCCCACTCTATCTGAACAAAAGGAAAATGTCCTTGGGCGAGAATAAAAAAAAAAAGTCAAAGCCACAAAACAACAGTCTTACAACCATTAGACATAAACACTGTCAGCCTGTTGAATGTTGAAGATTCTGATCTCTTCAAAAGTTACCTGCCAGGTAAGGGGACCCTTGTACCTCTAGGTAAAGGAAGTATCTATTCCTAGTCATAGTTCAGGCTCCTGAGAGTAAGCAGGTCTCTCATGGGAGCTGCACCTGATCTGTACCTGTGTCCTTATGCCACAAGCTGTGGTCACTAGGAAGACCTGAAGGTGAAACATGCAGACTAGAAAGACCTGAAGGTGAAACATCACAATCACACGGATAGCAAATGTTGTGAGCACAGGAAAGGCCGCCATCCATATAAAATTCATACCAAAGGTTCTGCCCAAGGGTTAGACCAGGGCAATAGTAAAAGCAGGAACCCCTGAAAAAGGGCCTTTCATACCCAGCGTACACATCTATTTGGGACAGACAAAATGTGTCAAGTGGATTGCTGTCCTGATACATGTGAATGTGATACATAGTCAGTAGTTACAATTGACACCAAATTGTTGAAAATACAACTCAGTTGGAAGCACCTTACAGAATTTGACTTTGAACTCCAGAAAATCTAAAATGGGACAATTTAAGAATTTTTTGTTGTTGTTCTTAATCCTTATCCCAGGATATTTTCTACAATGATTTTTAGAGACAGTGAAAAGGAGGGAGGAGGGGAGGAGAGGAGGGAGGGAGGGGAAGAGAGAGAAACATTGATATGAAACACACATCCAGTGGTTGCCTCTTATATGCACCCCAACCAGGGCTGGGATTGAATCTGCAACCCAGGTATGTGCCCTTGACTGGGAATTGAATCCATGACCCTTCAGTGCCTGGGCCAATGCTCTAACCACTGAGATACACTGGCCAAAGCAATAATTTTGTTCTACTTTATTATTTTAAAAATTTATTGGGGTAACATTGGTCAATAACATTATATAAATTTCAGGTGTACAACCTCATAACATGACATCTGTACACTCTATCTTGTGCCTACCACTCCAAGGCAAGTCTCCTTCTGACACCATGTATTTGACCCCTTTTACTCTCTTTGTCCTTCCCCCACCTCCCTTCCCCTCTGGTAACCACTATTCTGTTGTCTGTTTCTAGGTTTTTCAAAATTTTGTTTATTTGTTGCTTTTTGTTTTTTTATCCCACATATAAGTGCAACCATACAGTTCTTGTCCTTTCTTTGTCTGGTTTATTTCACTTAACATAATACTCTCAAAATAGTCCATGTTCATGGATTGAAAGAATTAACACAGTTAAAATAGTCACATTAACTAAAGCAATATACGCATTTAGTGCAATTCCCAGCAAAATCCCAATGGCATTTTTCACAGAACTAGAACAAATAATCCTAAAATGTATATGGAACCACAAAAGACCCTGATAAGCCAAAGCCACCCTGAGAGAAAAAAAAAAGTACAAAGCTGGAGGCATCACACCCTCTGACCTCAAACTAGACTTCAAAACTACAATTGTCAGAACTCAGCGCATTGGCAGAAAAACAGACACACAGACCGATGGAAGAGAACTGAGAGCCCAGAGAGAAACCCACACATGTGGGCGACCAACCCTTGACAAAGGAGCCGAAAGCACACAGCGGAGAGCGCGGAGCGTCTTCCACAAACGGTGCTGGGAACTGGCAAGCTGCCTGCAGAGAAGGGAGCCGGACTGCGGGCACCACCCACACAAATGAACTGTATATGGATTCAAGACTTGAATACCAGGCCTGGAGAATACATGGGAAGACACACAGGCACTCAGCCTACGGACCTCGGTCTCAGAAGTTTTGGTGAAATTGCTCCTGGTAAAGACGAAGATTTCACAGCAGCGGGCTCAGTGGGCGGGTGTGTGGCTGCAACGCGCCCGCGGGACAGTTCTGGGGCTCGGTCAGCAGGCGGACCCACGGGGAGGAGTCCGCTGACAATGGGGTCTGTGCTTGCACGTGTCCCCCGAGCCCCGGCCCGTGAAGCCGCCCACCCCGGAGCGCTGCACCCACTGAGCTGCCGCCGGCTCCCTTCCCCCGCGGCCCCAGCCGCTTAGGTGACAAAACACCCGGTGGGTGCTGTCCACGCGCCCACGCGCAGGCCGGTGTTAGGGCACCCGCCGGGCATCCGTGGACAGAGTTCGGTTACGTTTGGAACCACCAGTCCGTTCAGCCTCTGCCTCTCCTTTTCAAAGGGATGACGAATAATGTTCCGTGTCACTGGACGTAGCCAGGCCACATGGCCAGGTGGGAGAGCCTGTATCGACGCGGCCCCGACAGGCTCCCAGGACGGGGAGCAGCTGGAACTCGTCCGAGGGGAACGAGTCGATTTTGAAAGCACGGAGAACGAGCCTCGGGGACGCTGGGTCCGTGGTCCCCGAAAGCATTTCCTGGGCGCCCCCGCCGAGAACGTAACCGCCCCGCGGCGACGCTGACCGTTAGCTGCGGGCGGGGCTCGGGTCACGTGGGCGACGCCGGGTCAGAACCCGGTGTGCGCGGGAGCACGCAGAGCGGCGGGGCCCTCGGCCGCGCGCATTGCGTGCGCGCGCAGGCTGGGGGCGGGGCGTGGGGCGGGACCTTTGGCGCGCGGGGGCGGGGCCTCCGTCTCCGCCTCCTCTGCGAGGCTGGGCTGGCGGCGGTGGCAGGAGGCTGGTGACCCGTGCAGGGGTGTCTGGGCCATGACTGCGGAGCTCCAGCAGGACGAAGCGGCCGGAGCGAGCGACCGCCACGGCTCGGTGGGCCCCGTGGCGGCGATGGGAGCTTGGGGCTGGGGGGCGCGGCCTCTGGGTCCGGAGAGAGGAGGGGCGAGGGGCTGGGGCGGGAGCGGCGCGGGTCGCCGGCGGGCGGGCCTGCGGGCTGGGCGCGGTGGGGGTGCTGCGGCGGGCGCCGGCGCGGGGAGGAAGGGGCTCGGGGCAGGCTGATCGCTGCAGGGCTTGAGTTGCAGAGACTGGGTTCGGTCGCTGAAGTTCGAGGGGGATTCCTGTGTTGGAAAAGGAATTATAAAGGCTGGACGTGGGGTTGCCTGCACCTGGGCCGCGACCAGCAGGGGAAACTTCCGAGGGGCAGCTTCGGTGGGTTTTGTTTTCTTTTTAAATCTGTTTTGTGGCAGTACTGCTTTAAAGACTCCCACGCAGAGACGTTCTCTGACTTAAATCCAGGATTTACAAACACCTTATGAAAGACCAGGGGTCCCAGTTACCACTTCCTATCTTCTTCCACCTCCCGGCCCCGCCTTTAAAAAAACAACAACAACAGAGTAGCCTTCCCAATAGTGATAGTAATAGTAGCATTCATCACTCCAGGTTTTTTAAGAAGGGGAAAAGAACATCTCGATGAATAGAAGTTATGTGGATCATGTTTTCCTGTTCTGTTATCTAAGAAGATCCAAATCAGGACAAGGATGTCTGGGCTAACATGGTGAGAGTAAAAGAACACTGGTTTGGGAGAAAATCCGAAGGCTGAAGTTTGTGTGAAGAAACTTGGAAAGTGGGCAATTTGAGAATGTCTTCTAATGTTACTTTGGGATGTTATCATCTCACACTGCCTCTACCACTGCACTTTTTCAAGACGAAATAGGAAACTTGTGCCAAGTACTCAATGAGAGTTTGGAAGTGAGGAATTTCATAGAACATTTACAATACAGAACTGTCAGATACCTCCACTTGAGAAACATTTGAGCCTTTTTACTCTTTTCCTGCACTTAGGACACCTGTAGTGTATAAGGTGAACACACTTCCTTTTATAACTCCTGTAGTAAAAGAAACCTCTGAGGCCTGGGCTCCAAAATGAAAGTATGTGCTGGTTTCTCATGGAAGTAGCATTGTGAGGTGTCCACCAGGCCCACTGAAATATGAGTCAGGATTTTCTCTGGTTTCAGAGATTAATTGTGTTAGTTGTTAGGACAGTGACTAAAAACAGGTGGGAAAAAAATCTTAGTTTTGAGACAGGTGTGTTGATTTAGAGAAGAGACTATTTTTAGGCAGAGCAAGTCATTTAAATTTCTCAGAACTGTTAGCTGAGACCATGTGCCTGTTAATCAGTGGCATCTTCATTTCCCTTTGCCACAGTTCGAGTAGCAACCTATCTCATCACTAACTATTTGAGACCTTTGTATGGGAGGCGTTTGATGAGCACTTGTATGTAAGTCATAGCTATTTTTGGAAAGCTTGGAAACCGGTGGCTGTGGTTGGCTGGTGTACCCTGATTCCTGGTGACCTGCACAGTGATGACATTAACTGTTCTTCCCAGTGATTTGCCCCTTACAGACAGATGATAAGCTTGGTATGTTTGATAATGTTTGCCCTTTTTGTTTTTGCTAATGTAAAATGTTTGAAGTTAGAAGGCTAGGTTGAAGGACTCTTATATGGGGGAAGTAACTTTCACATCGCAGAGGAAAGATTTAGTAACTTCTTCTCATCTTGATGTTTCACGTTAGAATGGTCTTTATTTTGAATTCTCTGTAGTATTCTACATTTCCCTCCAGTGGTTCTCAACCTTCCTAATGCCACAACTCTTTAATACAGTTCCTCATGTTGTGGTGACCCCCAACCATAAAATTATTTTTGTTGCAACTTCATAACTGTAATTTTGCTACTGTTAAGTCTTAGGCAACCCCTGTGAAAGCGTCGTTTGACCCCCAGAGGGGTCGCGACCCACAGGTTGAGAACCGCTGCTTTAGATGCTCTTTAATTGTTCTAGTTGAGAGAGCTTTCCTCCCCAGACACTGAGAAGCTATTTAAAACCTAGAATGTTTCCTTCCCTTACCGGTCAGTTGTAGGTGGACAGACAGAACCCTCTATAACCGCCTAAGAATTTTAGTAAGGGAAAAATGTAGTACTTTTGAGATAGGTTTTCAGTGCCTACTCAAACCTAAAAGAGGACAATTTGGATACTACATCCCTCAGACTACAGAATGTTATTTGAGTATCTAAAGAGATTATTTACAGATTATGTATTTTAATCAATTCTTAACTTGGATTAAAAACAAACAAACAACAAACCAGCAACATTTACTATTCTTGTAGGACAAACAACTTGAAGTCACATTGGTTCTTATAAACCTGTCATCCTTGGCAGCTGTACCCTTCATTACACATTCTCAATGCTAACTGGAGCCCTGTGAAAACCTGCCAGCTTCAGTGGAAATTTAATGTCCTTTTTGTTTTTCTTTGATTTATTGGCTTTTCATTCCCTTTTACCTTCTCTGGTTAATTGTGATTTTTGGAGCATCAGTGAATGAGTGCGTGGTTGGTTTCCACAACTCTCATGCCTCCTCAGCTACCAACAGTTTCTGCTTACTCAGTGAGTACAATATTTGTAAAGCACGTTGACAAATAGTGCCTCAGCAGGCAAGGTCTTTCCATGTGTTTTACTTCATCAGAGAAATTGAAAGCAATGGCCAAGTGAAGCAGATATTTTTCAAGGAAAATAATGATGTTGATAATAATAGTAGCTAACATTGAGCATGTACAGTGTACCAGACCCTGTGCTCAGAACTTAACATATTGTTACCTCAGTACGTATGACTACTGTGAAGTTTTCTTATGGGAAGGCTTATACTGTTAAATAATTTGCTCAAGGTCACCCAGCTGGTAAGTGGTACAGCCAGAATTGAACCTAGGCATTTCTGACTCCAAGAGGCAAAGATTTCCCTGATCCTACTTCTTAGTTGGTGGACCCATTGTCTTGGGTCAGGGCGTTTCTGTTACTTGCTAGAACTCTTCTGATCTTTTAAACTTTCAATTCTCCGTGCACTCTTTCTAAATAGAGAACCTTTCTTTCTACTTGACTGAGCTTGCTGATGTCTAAAGAGAGCTGTCTCATGTTTTGGTTTGTTTTTCTCCCTTTTCAGCGTCTCTTTTCTCAGTGAAAGAGGTACCCACCCCTTCTACCCTCATTTGTTAGAGATGAATCTAGCTCACTGGTGTCTAGAGACCTTTTGTTTGTGACTGTTGGAGGAGGATGCTGCTGGCATCTGGTGGGTGGAAGCCAGGAATGTTGCTAAACATCCTATAATGTACAGGGTGCCCCTTAAAGCAAAGAGTTGGGTGGCCCAAAATGTCAGTAATAATGAGCTTGAGAAACCCTGGTCTAGATGATGTCTGTCCTTATTCTCCTAAATTATCTCACATCTCTTTTCTCCTAGCCTAACCCCTAGGTACCTTTACTGTTGTCTTCCCCCTTGCGACTCAAACCAAACTATGGTCCATGGACCAGCAGCATCTGCATCTCCTAGGAGTTTGTTAGAAATGTAGCAATTTGGATACGCTGGCGCCAGCTTTTACTGCCTCTCCACCTGAGTGTGTACATCTGTTTAGTGACCTGTGTTGGTAGCTTGAAATGGCCACAGTGGGAGTATTGTTACTAAGGAAAAGCAGCAGGCTCTACAGATCATCACATTGCTATTTGAGCCTCCACCCTAGACCTGTTGAATCAGAAACTACCTTTTGATCAGATCCTGGGTGATAAACTTTGAGAAGCTCTGTCCTACTCCACAAAATTCCCACTCTCCATTCGTCTAGGAACACATATCCCCAATCCTCAAATAAAATAAGAACAACAAAATTCTCTTCTGCCCTGGCCAGCTGTTGCCTTGTCCACCTCCTTTTATTTTGTTTACTTTTGAACAGTTTTTAAATTTTCCTGTTTCTTTTTTCAGGTGTTTTTCCAAGTACAGTGTAACTTCAATTCACTGTAGAAAATTTGGAAAATGCAGACCCAGCAAGATTCTCTCTTGGCTATAGAAGGCAAAGCCCCCAGGCTGAGGCACATTGGTTGCCAGATTCCACAGTGAGGTGGCAGCAACAGGTTGTGCAAAAGCCCAGTTAGGAGTTGGCTGTGGGGACTAATTTAGGCTCCAGCCTGAAGAGGGCCGATTGCCCAGAGGCGTGCGGAGAGGCTGACCAGTACGCAGAATTGTAGGGCAGTGAGTGGTTTTATGTGGTCACATCCCCCAGGCTGCCCAATCAGAGCCTTGCCAGTAGTAGTCTTTTAGTATTTGTCACTAGCAAATGGAACATCTGTTGGAAGTGCCCGGTGACTGACTACCTTCTGGTCAAATCAGTGGCCTTTCAGTAGTAACTCTTTTTACCATTTTCCCTTTGTCATTCAAGTACCCTTCGAGTCCCGTTCTCATGCTTTTATTTGTAGTGATTCCTTATTGCCACTTTTTTTGTTGATATTTATTTTGGCATTTGATTTTACTGCTACTTATCAACTGTGTATATTTTTTCATAAAAACTTTCTGTGTATATATTTTCACTTGCCATAGTTTCATCACAGACACTTCTGAATTGGCTACATAGTCTTACAATTTTCTTATGAAAATTAGCCCTGTGAGAGATGTTTGAATGTATCTAATACAGCCTTCATCTCGCAAATGCAGTAGCGGGTTCAGGCAGTTGATTTACTCTTGAGCACACAGTTTAAGGCAGAACCTTACAGTGTAAGGCAGCCTTGCAGTTCCGTGTCCCGTTAGTACCCTCGGTGCCTCAGCTACCTTACCTCCTGAGCTCTCCTCTGGACTTTTGGGACCTGTGTTCTGTTTCCTCCATCTTTCTTCTTTGCTATGGGCTAACTTGCTTGCTTTTTTGGTTGTTACTGTTCTTTTATTAACTGCTCCCCGTCTGCATTTGTAATCTACCCCTCTGTTTGCAGACGCTTGTCGAACAGCTCTGCTTGCACATCAGCCTCCTTGGCTACAGGCGTTTGCTGCAGAGCTACTTTGCCCACACTT